CATCCCCTTTAACGGGGCTGCGTTCACGTGGTGAACGTCGGCCCCTGGTCTTCGCCGGAACCGCGAGACGTGCTATTGAGACGGGAGAGGCGGTCCAGCAGCGGTCCGGCATTTGCTTGAGTGGCAGAAACGCCTAGGCTTCCCTTTTCCCGCAGAAATTCGGCGCTGGAGGGGTCACTGGTGCAGGATTACTGTTTCTTCAGGGCCCTACAGGGATTTAGAAGCTGTAAATGCCAAAAGAAGCTGTGACATATGGCAACCAAAACTGGATGTGTAACATTGCTGAGGGTCGTTAGGAAACAAGACATTTGGTCTTGGCCATCCATGGTTTGTGGCTCGAGCTGCATGGCGCACATGCCTGCTGGCACCTGTGAAATGCCACGTGTCCCAACTCCATCCTGCAGCCTCCTCTGTGCAAAGGTTTGGGCTAAGGCCAAGGTTTGGTTTGGCCTTAGTTTTTCTAGTTTTATCTGAGAGGCAAATAGCATGTTCGAGGTTATTGAGACAGTTGCAAAAGTAAGCGTGTTCTGGGACTTCTGAAGGGTTTTATGTTACACAACTGGAACAACTGCTCTTGACCAGCCTTTGGGAAGCAGCCAGTGGAGGGCAAGGATGCAGACTTTGGCAATCTTGTACGGGAAGGAATCAGTCTTTTCCCAAGTGCTGCTTTTTTTTTTTTTCCCCTTTCTTTTGCCAACAATATGTGGTTTGCTAACACTGATATAAGATTGTGATTAGAAAACAGATTGCACTAGTATGGGTCAGTCGGGTATGGGCAGCACAGGCAAATGTTGATGTTGCCTCTGCTCCAGTGTCATTGTCAGCCTCGCCTATGCATAATATGTTTAGCTGACTCTCTATTGCTTTGACTTTTTGCATCCTGCTGCTGACTTCCTGAGGAAGGGGTATGAGAAATGGAAAATCCTGCTTTGTTATGAGTTAATAATTAAACAGTTGAGTGCAACAAATAAAGGACACATCACAGTCTGTTGCACTGCTGAAAGGAGTTCCAGCAAGTAATACGCATGGGAACCATTTCCAAAGAAAAAAGCCAGAAGATAGTTTTGAGGTGAAGATCATGAAGTATCCCCTCTCCCAGGCCCCAGTAAAAAAATCCATCTGAGGCATCTCAGTGTTTTAAAAAAAGTCTAGAAATTATGCAGAAGATGGTTTTCTGGCTTAAGAATTAGTTTTAGTTATTTTTCTTAATATTTTCTCTCAGGTACTTGCACCCCTTGCTACAGGGCCCAGACAAAACAACAGCATTTTCTATGAAATTCGCACATATGATATTAAGCCATCGAAGATGAAGGAGTTTGTGGAAATGGTCAACAAGTACCTTCACCTTCGCACAGCTCACTCAGAACTGGTGGGATTCTGGTCTGCAGAGCTGGGAGCAATGAATAAAGTGGTCCACATTTGGAAGTACGGTACGTCCCGCTCTCTCTGCTCCATGTCTCCTAGGCAAGAAGGCAATGCGATTGCTTACCCAGCTTTCAGTTATTGCTCTTACTGTAAGGAAGTGTAAAAAAAAAAAAATTGTTCCTGTACGGATTACTGAAAAGAGCGCTGCACAGCCTGTCAGGACAATTTTGACATGTTGGGATGAGAGAGTTACAACTCTTCTTAAACAGTGATCTCTGCTCAAAACAGGTATAATAGTGGAGCTGCGGCAGATTGCTTTGTTTGTGGTAAATATTTTTAACATAGGGCCAGTTCCTGAATCACAAATGTCTTCAGAATTTCAAAATGGATAGAAAAAAGATTGAGACCTCCTTAATAAGGTAATATATATAAGTGCAGGCAATCTACATGCAGTCTGTGTATGTTTATATGCTTGTATAATTGTTCTCAAATTTTAGTTCAGTGTAACAATCATTCCCCTAAAAAAATGAGCACACAGTTTCCATGTTTAAACTCCTTCTGGACTGTGCTGAGGTGGGAAGCCACTCTGCCAGCTCTGACTTCCCAAGCACACAAAATATTTCGTTGCTGCTTCAGCCTTGGTAGCCACAGGCTCCTTGCAGTATAATCAACTTTTTTATGTTGCTGGAGTTGATGCTGGCCTGGAAGGTGCTGGTGAGCCAAGAAAAGCTACAATTATGTGAGAAGCTAGGTGTGCTGGCTGTGCTCCTTGTGGAGCCCAAGGGAACTTGATACTTGGGTTACGGAGAGGTGGGACGGCACACCGGTGTCATTTCTTTGTGTGCCTGCTGCAGTCTGGGGTATGTCTGTATGCTGAGACAGAGAATTTTGTTTCTGAAGTCCTCAGTCTGCTCTTTGAAATCCAGCATGTTCACAGTACCTGTTTAGAATAAAGGGTCACCCCTTTTGTCTTGGAGGGTTGAAGGGACCAGTTGTCCATCAAGGGGAATATTATGAGTTTATAGGTATCTATGGTGAATAAATTGCCCTGCTTCTCAACTTTTTATCCTTGTCTGTTGTTTCTTTCTCTAAAAAAAAACCCCAAAAAAACCCAAAACCATATTTAATAATCTCTGAGAACCTTTTAAAATGCAAAACTGAGGAAAAAGCTATAATTTGTATTTGCTTCCTAATGGTGTTTACATGTGTAAGGTAAAACATCCTTTGTCCTTGATTCATCAGACCCTTGCTTATATCTTTTTGGTAGTTAAAAGTAATTGGTATATTTTTCTCTTAGTCCCAAGATTGGTATTTCTCAATGTTCTCCCCATTCTCAGATGCTGGATTTTTCTCTTGTATTATTTAAAGCAGTCTGCATAAAGATACTGCTTAAGATGCCACTGCAGCCTATCCAGTTGAAATTCAGGCACTCTTAATTCAGTGGATTTGTTTTTCATTAAGAAAAAAATAAAAAGAGCAAAAGGTTTAGATTTTGGGCATTTAGTAACTTTATGTAGCTAAACAAACAAACATTACTTCTATACTTGTCATTTTAATGTCATTTTATGTAAGCCAAAACTCATATTTTTACTAATTTTTGTCTTGATAGGTTCATATTCCTTCTGAATTTTCTTTTCCACTTCACTTCCTTATCCACTGTGCTTTCTCCGAATCTTCTTATCGTTGGTAACTGATGCCACATCTGGTAGTCCCTGCAGATGCCATATATGAATCTTTCTTAACAGTAACATTGCTCAATGTATTATAACTTTTTTATAAACTCTCTTGGAAAAATTGGTTTGGCTTGAAACCATTTAAATCTGAGAGCTAAAGTAAATGTTTTTGTAGAATTTGAAGGAAACTTACCACATCGGCTTTGAGCTAATATGCTGTTAAAAATACAGATTTCAAACTTATAAGTGGTAAGTGCAGCTTGCCTCCTTCTAATTATATATTTTGATTGAGTCGGATGTGACATTAAGTGCATTTTTTCATAGCTTTTTTCTTTTTTTCCCTTTCTTACAGATAATTTTACCCACAGAACAGCAGTCCGGAATGCAGTAGCCAATGACAAAGACTGGCAGGGAAAATTCATCTCACCAGTTCTACCCTTGATAGAAAAGCAGAACAATGAGGTCGCTTATCTAGTACCCTGGTGTCAATTTGGGAAGCCTCCAAAAGAAGGGGGTGAGCTTATCTTCTCTTTTGCTGCTTAAGTTACTGATGCTGATGGACTAACAAAAAATGGCTTAAAGATTAAACCAGGTATCACGTGGTTTTCTAACTGTTTTATGTATCAAGTGCATATGCGTACACCCATGTAACAAAGTTGACGTAACACAGATGAGGGACAAAGTTTTTAGGAAGGATTTTACACTAACTTACATCAATAACTGACTAGAGCCTTGATTGTTAAGGTTGTAAAGAGGTGTGTGGCTTACCTAAAGACCATGCAAAATGGCAACGCGGTAGTAGAGGTCAGAGCAGTCATCCCAGACTTGACTTGTCCATCCATCAGTGAGAGGGCATTTCCTGGAGATGCTAAAGGCAATGATTGTTCTCCTTCACAGAGGTTTTTCCCTTTTATCAATTAGCTTTGATGTTACTGCTTCTTTCATGTTATAGTTTCAAGAAAAATGAAAAAAAAAAAAAAAATCCCTGCTTTTTAAAGACACATGCAGGTCAAGCATAGTTTGTAACAATCATAGATTAGGTGTAGCTGTCCTGTCCTTAAATTCTCTATGTAGCAAATGTAGTATTAATAGTATTGACTGTTCCTTGATTTATGAACATTTGCAGGCTTTGTTGCACGGAGTGATATCAAACAGGCCTTGCTTTAGCCCTCAGCATGTGCATACGTACAGAAATCTTTGTTCTTTATTTCCCTGTGATTCTGAGTTTTGTGCTGTTACAATTGAATTTGAAAGCAGTCCAGTTTACTCTCAAAACTGCAGAGCTGACTTTTTAAACAAACATTCCTATCTTAGTTTCTCTCCAGCCCATTGCTGGAGAATAAGACCAGACATGCATTGCCATATGGCAAGTGTCTAGCTTTCTGTTTAAGTTTCAGCAATTATAATCTAGAGTAACTACCTGAATGGAAAGGAGACAGATAATGTGTCTTGTAGCAGGGCTGGAGTTTTTCAGCAAATCATGCCATTTTTTACAAACAAGGGAGATCGTTTGGCAGAGCAGAGATGCTAAGCTAGTCCTGGTGTGTTGGTTATGTCTGCCGATCTTGCTGTGACCAATTGCTGGGAGTCAAAGGGGTTCACAATGCCATGAACCACTTCAATGCCAGAGAACACCGCCAGTCTTAGAAAAGGCCACCTTGCATTGTTCAATCAGCTATCCGAATCCTGCAAAATTGTATGAGTAGTGATTTCTGCAGAGTAGTCTGAATCTCCCCAGATTTCCAGGCAAAACTGAAAATTGCCAAGTTAGGCTTCGTGTGAAGCCTTCTGTTCCTCAGGGTCTCAGTACCTACAGTTGCACGTGAACTAGCTCCAGTTAGTGAGCTGCTTGCCTGTGCTGTTGTGAGCCTTGGAAGCTGTGGTGTTGTGCATGCTGGGACGTAGGGGTGGTCTCATGTCCTGCTGACCCCAAATGGCAGGGAATTGCAGTACTAGTTTCACAATAAATATGTTATGACCATGACACGCTGGTTGACACCTGGCATATTCTTTTCTATTTCCTTCCTTGAGGTGGTCTTTGCCTTTACTTCCAGGAATATATGAATGGGTTACTTTCCAGATGAAGCCTGGTGGGCCAGCATTGTGGGGTAAATCCTTTCAAGCTGCCATCAATGCTCACGTCAGCACAGGCTACACCAAGCTGATCGGTGTTTTCCACACAGAGTATGGATTACTTAACACAGGTACTAAATTTCTGATAACAGCTTTTGGCATGGGAAGGGGCGGAGGGAGAGGGGCAAACCCTTGTCCTGGATCAGGATTGACAGGCTTGATGAAATGTTGGTGTGGATCACCAAAGTCCTGTAAACAGTCCTTGAACCCAGCTTTGTGTATTGGCTTACAGGCTTACGCCAGGTGCTACTATCTTAAAAGACTCTCAGATCTGATGTTAAAAGAGTCAGACCTTTTAAAGGCTAAGTGGAGGATCATCCTACCACTTGCCTGGAGAATTGCTTCTGCTAACTGCAGAGCATCTAATAGGGGAAGGGAGACTGCTAGGACTTGAGTACATGTTGTTTTGCAGCATAACAGTATTCAGCTGACTTTATTTGTATTTTCTCAGTCCATGTGATCTGGTGGAATGAGAGCGCAGATCACCGGGCAGCAGGAAGGCACAGTGCCCATGAAGATGCTAGAGTGGTAGCAGCTGGTAAGAGATGATGGATCTGGAGAACTCACTAGTGTTACCTGCATGCATGCTGAGAAAAATATTATTTCTCATTGGATTACTGTCTTAATTATGCATTTAAATATGCATTTAATTTCAGTGCGGGACAGTGTCAGATTCTTGGAGTCCCAGCAAAATGTGCTCCTGATTCCTCTGCAATGCTCGCCACTGAAGTAACCTTCTTCTGAAGGATATAGCTGATAGCAGAAAGGACAAGATGGAAGTGCTGTCAGCAAGGGCCATCACATGGATCATCATACCCTCATGAACTGAGCTGTTCTTCAGTTTACAATAAATGGATGCAAAATATGGATCGCTAGCAATGTAAATCAGTAAAATTTTGCACCCTGATAGCAATTACTAAACAGAAGTTTATGGTGATGTTCCTATATCCCCAGGAAAAAGAATTTGAGCTGTATCACTTACGGCATGAGCCACACTTCACCCATCTTTTATTTTAACCCATCAGTTCTTAGCATTTTTTCCCAACATTACAGCTCAGTGCGACTCTTGTAATTATCACATCTTGGCTATTGCATACTGGTTTAAGAAAGAATGCCCCCACATAACTGTTACCCAGTTATGTTTTAATTGGCCATCTTATTGGGGTGCTTTGTATTAATTCTGAGTAACATAAAACATCAGTGTGGTTGGAATTGCACCTAGGAGGTGCTGCAGGGGAGCTGGTTGGGTAGTGTGTCCTGATGAACTCTGCCATGAGACAAGCATTTATTCACTATCTTGTTATAGTTCACTTCAGCCCTTTCCTTAAACACTTCCTCAAAACTGTGAATTACACAACGCTTTGCCTTATTAGGTACTTTAGTGTTTGTTTAGGGTGCTGAAGTTTATTAGCCCTTCTTGTTCAACTGTGTAGTCACACTCAGCTGATCTGCATGTGCTTACATTCTTTGAAATACTTTTTGCCAGACCTTTAAAAGCCAAATAAATTTGTGTAAAGCATGACTTTTTAGTGTTTACAGATCAAGCTCTTACTCTTTTTGCAGGTCTTGCATTTTGGTCAACAACAGTCTTGATAATAGTTGCTTTAAAGCCAGTAAGCTAGAATGAAATAGCAGCAGGGCAGAGGGCACATGGGCTGAGAAGTCAGACTTGTATTTTGTATATAGTGGTATGGAGCACTCTTCTGCAATTTAAAGGTCACTAACCAGCAGAGGACTTGGGAAGCTTTTCCACGGGTTAATCACTGACCTTCAATGAGCAATTGATTTCAGTTCTCTACTGAAGTATCTTTGTGCAATCTGCCTAATGATGACTATTTCTTCTGTAATGTGCATTAAGATCTCATGGAAAGCACTAAAAAAAAAATAATCTGCAGGCAATTATGGTTGTGGGTGGATGGGATCCAGCTGCTGCAGTTAAGGGAATATAACAGGTCCCAGCTCCTATACCCGTCTTCATCCTCTCCTTCCTCCAACAAAGCCATCTTTAGCACTCTCAGGGTGGAAGAAGCACTACTTCAGAGACCGCTGTCTTGTATTTTACAAATGAACTTCTTAAGTTATAAATGGCTGATAAACCATCACTACCAAGTTGATTCAGAATGTTGCCTTATGGCAGTTAACTCAAAGGGGGACTACTGTTTTATTCAGTAACAAAAACATGGACTGAGAAATGGGACAGGGAATTAATAGGACTTTCTTTCCTCCCACATGAATGCAAAAAAGTTGTTTTATTGTTTGCTGGAATAAAAAAGAGAGGTATACTAAAAACAGTATTTTTTTTTCAGTAAAACTATGTCCCTTGTCACCAGCATTGAGAGCAAAGAATACTCAGGATGTTAAGAGGTGTGTTTGTTTTCTGACAAGAGGTTGATAAATCAAACACATTACCCAAAGCACCAGCTGGACACTAGATTAAGACAGAAAACCCAGGATGAATTTTCCTGAGACATGTAACTTGAAGAATTGGTTGGATTCTGGAACTTAATTGGTTGATAGTGGGACGAGGGGCAGTTGTAAGCAAAATTTTAACATCAGTTTTCCTTTGCGCAATCATACCACTATTTTGCATTCATTTGTAAACTGCTGTTCAAAATCAATCTAGTGTTAACTGAAGTGATCTTCCTTTAATTTGGTATTAGCCAAGTTTAGGCTATTTCAGAGTCTTTAGACTCAAACATAACATTTTACTTTGTCAGTGAAAACAGGTATAGGCTATTTTTAGCAAAGAGGAGCAACAATTATCACTAATTGCAACTTGCCAGATCTCCATAATGGAAATATTCAGAGGCAGGTACCTGAATTGGTATTTGAACATCCAGGGAAGTCTGTCACACTCTGCAGCTCGATTTGACAGTTACACCAATCACTTTTTTCAGGACTGGCTGGAAACCTTTTTATTTACTAACTTTAGAAGCTTGAAGTAGCACTTGCCTTTCAAATCTTGCACCACCTCACTTGCCTGAAAATAGTATGTGCCCCATGCTAATTTGTAGAGGAATTGGAACTTGCTTGTACATTATGCATCAAAGTTCACAACAAAACAAACTGGGCAAAATGAGCTTCTAACAGCACTCCTCAAAAGAACATACAAAAAAATGACACTTCAAAGACCAGTGGTGCCATAACAGCTTTATTTTTTACTTAATACAAGGCAATTAGAGTGCCTTTTAATATTTCACATAACAGTTATTAGCAAATACAAATATATATACTTTTTTTTGCTTTTAATGAAAATGTCCATTTAAGGATTTAACTTAGAAATTTCAGCTGTGAAACCTCAAGATTTTTGCGAAGTTAACAGATATTCCAGTGCAAAAATAGATCCCATTACAGATAGCATAAAGTGCTTGGAATGAAGGACCAACTGTAATTCAGGAGGGAAGCATAAGCACAAAGTGGTGGTTTAACCGTGGGGAAAATTCAACAACTCCTTCCTGAAATACAAATGTACTACAAAAAGGGATGCAACATGTCAACAGTAATAAAGTTCAAAATAAGTTAACACCTCAGTGCAGTTTCATTATCAAGAGTGGTTCATATACTGTATGTGACTCAAGTGACTTTTCCCCAACACACACTTGAAATTAGTGGCTGTCTTATTCCATGACAAATCTTCATGTGAGAGTTGCATTATGCGGCCTGTTCAATACAAACAAGACCAACCAGGGCTGTGAAATAGTTTGGTTAATACCCATGTTTACTGTAACATTTTGTCACAGATAGCAGGCTCTGTATGAGCATGACAGTCATAGGGGAATAGGAATCAAGAATTTCTTTTTGGTGGGCTAAGGAAAAAGGATTATGACGTAACTGTTGTTTCCTGCTAAATTAATCATTTACATGACCAGTTACAAAAAGCAAACCATAGCCCTTTCAGGACCAAATCTTCATCCTCCTACAACTTGTTCTAGTTCTACATGTGCTATTTTGGTGCAATGCAAAACTTAAGCCCTTCACGTTGGTGACTTAATGCTGATTTGTAATAGTGATTTTTAGCAGTGGTGAGCCTTCAATACATGCTACTTGTTTCAATGATATCCTAACATACCTGCAGCCTGTTACAGAGAAGTCATGGCTGTAGCTCAGCTGTTTAGTAATTTTTCTGCACCTGGAAGTCTGGTGTATTTGTCACCCTGTAACTCATCCCCATAGGGCGACGATGCCATAAAGGTAATAACAAAGCATGTTTTAAGTAAGTGAGGTATACCAATCCCCATTACACTCCTTTCTCAATCCCCTTAGCAATGTATTATACAGATTAAAAAAAAAAATAGTATGAAAAAGGCACTTGAGCAGACCATGTAGAAAGCTCTTACTTTATCCCAAGGCAGGACAGAGCAGGGACTAGGAAATTGTGCTAAATATTTAACTGTCTGTGTTTTTAAAATCCTGAATTGTTGAGTGTTTCCAAGTATACCTGGACATATGTAATCAAACTTCTTCAGGCTCATGCCAGCCTCTTCACGGTTTGTTGGGCTGCTAAGGGCATTCACAGAAGAAAATGGTGCATGACTGATTCATGACAGAGTAGCATCAAGAACTAGTGCAGAACCTGTATGGGTATTTAAGGCAGAGGCACGACATACAGAAGTAGCCCAGGAACTGCACTTGGTTCAAACCACATTACTGAACCTATTTCTCAATGTAAAAGCAAGACAGAGGGGCCTGTAAGTGTATTAATTAAAGCATACTCTCCCATGACTGTTGTACAATGTGAACAAGAATTGGTTGTTCTTGCTATATAATATCCCCTCTGGCATTATTCTGGCTTTGTAAAACTTTAAAAATTATTGACTGATGTAACTGTGGCACTACTGTTTTGAACTATCTTGGTCTTCAAGGGGATTTTCACTGAAGCAGTTTGTTGTATGTGTAATAAGGGTGTTTTCACCAGTTAGGGATCACCTAATGACTGAAACTACACTGCACAACAGAAGCAGAAACTTACACATTAATCTAATGTTATACCAGTTTCCAAACAGGAAAATTCTAGCTGAGCAATTTGCAGTAGCGGCTGATTGCTAAGAGTCTAGAACTTGGTAAGATCATGAATGCAGCTATGGCTGAATGGATAGAATGAGAGCATGGCATCACAGGCATAATGTAAAGTAATACTGTGGCTACAAAGATCAACCGAAAGCACTTTCAATCCCTAGTTATGCTACCTACCTAAAGTTATAAATAATACTGTTAAAAAAAAAAATAAATCTACATCTCATTTCTAGTTTTATCTGGCAAAGCCAGAAATGGCAACATGCTTGTGCTAAGCAGTAACTTCAGATGATGGTACCTTTCTGGTGCAAAGCAGGGGTTAAAGAGCAGATATTACATATCTGAGTGATATCTCATCATTTAGAATCTGCTCTTGGCATTAGCAGCTTGTACAACTACTGAGTTTGCTGCTGTGGTCCAAACCCTAGGTCTGCTTCTCACCCTCTTCCTCCTCCTCCTAGGTGTTCATGCAGCTGCGCAGTACCTCAAAGGAGCAAGAGAGTACTTAACTACACAAGAACCTAGTCAGAGTACGTTATTGGTCGTGATGCTGGTGGGACAATCCTGTGCATTTGCAGGGTTTGCAGTTCTGCATATCACCACTTACTGATAGAGATTGTATGGATGTGATAGCCTGTCTCTTGCCGTCCCATCTGCACAGTACTGCTTTGTGGCCCCAGATTTGTCACCAACTGACCTACACCAGTCTAGGAAAAGCAG